TGGATGGATGGATGGATGGATGGCTCTCCATATTTTGCCACTTTGTTTTTCGAATAAATTTGAGAATTCTGATTTCTGTTCCGGACACACACAGATCCTGATCTCTGAGGGCCTCGGCATCTACGCTCGGGACCCCAAATTCGTCAACTTTGCCAAGCGGGAAATCGCCGAAGCGTGTCACATGAGTCTGGATGAGATGGAGAGCGCCGCCGCTGACCTGATCGCACGAGGGACCAGTCGCTCCATTTCCCGCTTCGAGGACGAACTGGCCGACGAAATGAACTGTGTGATTTCTTACTGAGATCAGCCGGAACACGACGAGGAGGCGACGTTAGACAACAAAACTCCTTGGCGTGGTGGGTGTTTATGTTGGTTTCAAGGAGGGGGAAAAACGTGAGAGTCGTTACCTGCGAATGCCAAAACGAGCACAGACGCTGATTTTAAAAAGTGTCTGAACTTTTCTTCTACAGAAGAGACTGATGAAAATAAAATCACACTTTAGCTCCAAGCATCATTTTATTAAAGCCATTTTTCCACAGTTTTTTATTATTTAAATTAAACTATCATTTTATTAACCTTTGTGATCATTTGCACAATAAATAACCAGAGAAGAGAAAAATATAAGGTTCAACATCAGAGTTTGGAGAAAAAAATCCTCCAAAATACAGAACTTGTAAAAAAATGTTTCAGCTGTTTAGATTGTTGTGACTTTCAGTTGAATGGCTGAGCAAATAAAATGTGTTTTTCTCTAATGTGTGTCTTATTTAATAGTCAGGTGCAGTTAACGGTTCGTTCCTTTCAGTGAATTTGACCCCGTAGAATATTTGTTTTTAAAACGTATGTTGGGAACCACAGTGAAATAGAAATGCGGAATTATGTAACAAGCAATTAATGAAGTGGCAGATGGACAACATCTGGGTTTCACTTCCCCCTTTAAAGATAAGAAAGATGCAAAACGAGCTGCTGAATGTGACGTCTACATCTGCTGCGGTGACATGTTTCCTGGCGGTGGTGCATGCGTAGATGAAGGGTGAGCAGCTTGTGGTTCGGGTGGAGCAGGACCTTCAGGATGCAGAAAGGGGTGGGATATGTTGGGCAGTTTTGACCACCTGCTACACTGACTTCCTGTCTGTGGAGCTTCGGTGCCACGCTGTGATGGAGCTCGTCAAAACGATTCTGGTGGCGCATCTGTAAACATTTGTCCGAATTTAAGTTGAAAGTTGTATTTTTTCCATTTATCGTAGAAATAACAGGCAGTTTTGTGCTGTTTTATTAGATAAGATGTTTATAAGCCAGATGAGGTCGTCTGTACTGTGGACTCCCAGGACCACAGAGACTATCTCCTACACCGGTGTTTCCCAAAGTTGGGGTCGGGACCCAAAGTGGGGTCCCGAAACATCAAGGTGGGGTCCTGAAAAGATTTTCTGAATTAATTACACTTTTGCCTTAGTTGTTACAAAG